CAGGCACAGCAAGACACCTCAGGACACAGACTGACAGCTGGGTTGATGCTGCAGGCTGGTTGGGGAGGGAGGGGAGAGGGGGAAGAGGCAAGGAGAGATGGAGAGATGTGACGGGGAGAGGGGGAGATGTTGGGAGAGATGGGAGAGTGGGAGAGAGGGGAAAGGCTGGGAGAGAGGGGAGAGGGGAGAGTTTGGGGAGAGTCTGGGAGAGAGGGGAGAAGGGAAATGGTGGGAGAGAGGGGAGAGGGGAGAGAGAGAGGCTGTGACGGGAGAGAGGGGAGAAGGGGAGAGCCTGGGAGAGATGGGGTGACGAGGAGAGGGGTAGTGGGAGAGAAGAGGGGGAGGCTGGAGAGAGGGGAGAGGGGAGATGTGAGAGGGGAGGGGGAGAGGAGAGGGAGAGAGGGTTGACGGGAGAGAGATGTGGAGAGGGGAGAGAGAGGGAGAGGGGGAGAGGGGAGAGGGGGGGAGGGGAGGGGAGAGAGGGGAGAGGTTGGGAGGAGAGGGGGAGAGAGGGGAGAGGGGGAGAGAGGGGAGAGGGGGAGAGAGGGGAGAGGTTGGGAGAGAGGGGAGAGGGGAGAGAGGGAGAGGTTGGGAGAGAGGGGAGAGGTTGGGAGAGAGATGTGTGCTTAAAGTGATGGAGGCTTCCTCAGTCTCTCCTATCAATCCCTCTATTCTACACGAGAGAGAGAGAGAGAGACCATTGCCTTTGACTGATGCTTCCTCAGTAGGTTGTCTGATGAGTTAAACATCAAAGTAGTCTTTCACTGTATTGCAGTATATATATATATATATATGTTATAATAGTATAGCTGCAGTGATGTGCAGTGATGTTGGTGGCTGGGTAGGCTATTATCAAAGCAAGATTTACCCACAAATAAACCTTGATGAAGCCCCTGTTCATCTCCAACAGCCAGAGAGGCTATCAACCAAAATTAAGGAACCATTTTCATCACATGTAAACATGATACACCAGTGATAGTCTCCAAATATTTCACATCATCCAACCAAATCACAACTCTAACGGCCGTGGCCATCCGTGGCCATCCGTGGCCATCCGTGGCCATCCCTGGCCATCCCTGGCCATCCGTGGCCATCCGTGGCCATCCGTGGCCATCCGTGGCCATCCGTGGCCATCCACAACCGATAGGTGGCACTAAATCAAATCAAATAAAACGTTATATATGTCACATGCGCC